CAAAAGCCGATTGGCGGGGCACTTCCCTGTACGGCCGCTTGAGGCCCGGCACGGAGGCGATGCAGAGGATCCTGGCGGAGCAGACGGCGATGCACGCCTCGACGGTGGGCTCCTTGCGGATGCTCAGCAGGCAGACCTGCCCCACGTAGCCATCGCTGTTGCACACCCAGACCTCGCAGGCGCTCTCCGGGCTGCTGGGACTGGGAGAAGCACAAGAGAACTGGAAGGGAGCAAAAGACAGGGAGAGCTCGGGTCACTCGCGGGCGGCACGGCAGAGCCTTTGCCAGCTCCGGGCTGGGCGCCACCCAGGGCGTCCCTTCCCCATGCCGTCCGCGACACCTGCGCTCCCCCCTTGCAACGTGGGCACGAGCCACGCGAAGAGCCCGCGGGGTTTGGAACCCGGATTTTGGGAAGGAGAACGTGCTGCGGGGATGCTCTTCCACGGCACCGGGTGCAGGAGGATGCTTAATCCACCGAGAGTGGAAACAGGGATCGGAAGCCAAGTACCTGCATCCCACTCCGTGTCTTCATGATGGGGATGGCCTTGAGGAACTCCGGGTCCAGGCAGTTTTTGCTGGAAGCTGGGGATATAAAATAAGAGCTGAGAAGGATGGACTGGAGAGGAGATGGTGAAGCAGAGGTGCCCGTGGGCTCTACAAACAGGAGCAATGCAGCTGCATCCATGGTGCGAGCAGCTTCCCCAGGACATGACCAGCCGCTTGGTGGTGGGTGCAGAGCGGCACACAATGGGTTTTGGGTACTTTTTCCTCCCCATGTCCCCAGTCCTCGTGGGGAGGCTGGCTCTGGGAGCGGGGACCTGCTGTTACCCAGCTTCTTCTTGGCGTCCTCGAAGGCCTGCTCGAAGCTGTGCCGGGCGTCGGGGTTGGGGAACTCGAAGACAAAGGACTCAGTGCCTTCGGCCTTGGTGGTGGTGAGCTCCACTTTGTTGGGGGGGAAGGACATGCTGTAGGACAGCGACTGCTTCTCGGCCAGCTCCCGGTGGATGGCGGCCATCAGGTCCTTGATGACATCATCCAGGCTCTGTTCAGGGGAACAGCGGTTTGGGTCTTGGAGGACAGCCGAGATGAGAGGATGGAGGAGATGGGTGCAGAACCATGGTGTTGCCCATGTCCCTCCCCACCAATATCCCAAGCAGCCAGAGCTGGAGGTGACCCCAAGTATCTTTTTGAGGCTGCCTAAAACCCTGTCTGGCTTCAGAGCTGGTGGCATTGAGGTCCTTCAGGGCTGGTGGCATTGAGGTCCTTCAGAGCTGGTGGCCTTGGGGTCCTCTGAGGATAGTCATGTCAACTGCCCGTCTCTGGGTAAAAACCCGTCCCATTCAGGGTTTTCCAGGCAGATGAGACATGGCCAGGAGAGAGGCTGCCCAACCCCGCTGCCTTCTCCATCCCACCAAGAGCCCCCAGAGAACAGCTCTGCCGAGCGGGGCTCTGCTGGCTGCTGGCATCTCCGTACGACTGTAACAAAATCCGAGTCCAAAACCACTTAAAAGCTGGCCAGAAAAAAGGCAGGAACTGGTGGCACTTAACAAGATACAAGGCTTTTTTCTTCTTGGTGCTGGATAAAATGCATGGACACTCTCTGTCCAACCTGGTCAAACTGAGTATTGGTGGATGTTTAATGAAAAGTGTTTTCTCCTAAATATTAGGCATTCAGGCTACATGGAGGGATGAAGAGAGCCACGGAGCACCTGGCCAAGACCTGCCATGCGGCCACGTTTCAGCTGGGGCACAGAGGGGCCTGAACGTAGCCGGGTGCCTGGATCGGGGCCACCTTGCCCGCACCTGGGGTGCGCAGGAGAAGGTGTCCGGCCCCGGCCCAGGCCCCCTCACCTGGTGCGGGAAGCTGAGGCTCTCCGAGAGCTTGCTCACTTGGCCCAGCGTGCTGAGGTCCTCGTCCAGGCGGCAGATGCTCTTCTGGATGCTCTCGCGGTTGGTGGCTTGCGAGGCACCTGCGTGGTGACATTAGGTCACGAGGATGCTCCTGCTACCCCCTCCCTGCCCATTGCCTGACTGGGGCGATGAGCACTGGGGTTGCGGGGAGCACTGCCAGCGAGTGGCAGTGGCAGCGGTGGTGACAGACCTTTGACGATGTCCACGTCCTCCAGGGGCAGTTTCCAGAGCAGTTTATACTTGCTGGCCGTGTCTATCACGCTGGCTGCCGTGTACCTGCGAGGCAAGGACCGGCTGAGTGCCGTGGGGCCGCCTAGCGCCAAGGTGGCAAAGAGTTGCGCTGAGATTTTATCCCCGTCAGCTTAAAACCAGGCCTGGAGAGGAGGACGTGCCAAGGGACAGCCCTAACGGCTTGACCAGGTGAGCTGGATTAGTGGCCATTGGAGAGGGTGGCAAAGCAGGGTGCTCCGGACGGATCCCCCGGGGCAGGGGGAGAGGGGGGGGGACGCTGGCGGGCGACGGGGCCGGTGGCACTCACAGACTCATGGAGCTGCGGCGGAGGGAGCCCGACTTGCGCTTCAGCGTGGTGCACACGAGGAGGTCCGTGAAGAGGAAGAACGAGCGGTCCTTCTTCCCGCCCACTGCCTTCTGCAGAGCAACAGCAAGAAACGGGGAGGTTAGTGGCTACGCAATGTCCTTTCTGAATTTCCCCAGCTCCATAGCAGCTGGTGCTCATGGGGCGCATCTGGACTCAGCCCAGCAAGCTGGGATGTGAACGAAGTGCTTTGGGCAGAGGAAGGACAGAGAACGTGGCAACAAATCACTGCTCATCCTCAGTGCCACCTCTGCGGTCATGTGGGCCTTCTCTCCCTCCAACCATCCCTCCGTCTGTCCAGCCGTGCGTCCATCCAACCATCCACCCTTCCATCGTCATCCCTCTAGCCACCATCCAACTGCCTTTCCACCCAGCCAGCACCTTCTCCGTGGGGACTCAGCCTCCCTGGGCAACCCCCAGGAACTGCACATGCTGCAGTCACAGCCGCCCACATGCTGGTGCCATGTCTCGCTGCCACGCAGCAGCCAGGGGACAAACTGCCGGGGTGAGGGGCAAGGAGCGATGTCACGGGACTGGGCTGCTGGGTCTTACCACTTCCACCACCATCTCCTGACGCAGGAACTTCCGGAGCGGGGCCTGGAGCTGTGAGGACAAGGATGCTCATGAGACACAGACATGGGTGCTGCACCCTTGCGCACCGAGGGTGCCCAAAGCTCAGCAAATTCCCCCTGGGTGACACCCGTTCCCAAAGCCGGGCTGCATCTGGGCCAGTGGGTGCTCAGGACTCAGATTCGGGGCTCCAAACACCAGCGAAGGGTAGAGGGAGTGAGAAGCAGAGATTTCGTTTGGCCCCAGAGGTGAGGACGCAACGTGGCGGCAGGGCCCCATGCATAATGAGGACCCTCTGTACGACGGAGGTACTGCTCATGCCATGCTGGAAACGGCTTCCAGCCTCACCAGAAAAGCGCAGAGCTTTTTCTCCCTCCCGACCTTGCTGGGAGGTTCGTTAGGCCCCTCGTTACTGCTTTAGGGCCGGCCAGCACGATGAGCCCCTGTCCCTTCCCGCAGTCCACGTACATCCTCCATCCCTTCGATGTGGGACTCGATCTCCTGCACGATCCGGGCGTTCCTCTCCACCTCCTCGGCGCTCTTCATGCCCTTGTTTATCCTCTCGGCCACTTGCTTGATGTTGCGCTGGGCGTCGATGAGGAAGGGGTGGTCGGGGTGGTCCTCCGGCGTATGCTTCAGCAGGTCCTGCAGTGGGGAAGAGAGGCAGGTGCCGTCATCACGAGCCATGCTGGGGACCACCACTGCCTGAGACGCTGGTGGGTGCTGTGCCAGCACCCTCTGTTGCGTTTTTGGAAGCAAATTCCTAAATTCCCAATTTGGAGGGAAATCAGCC